TGCAAAGGAAAATAGAGACCAAGGAAAGGATCCTTAAAGCTGTCAGGGAGGGAAGATTAAGTGCCTATAAACAAAAACCAATCAGAATAACTACAGATTTCTCAGCAGAGATCACGAAAGCAAGGAGAGCCTGGAATGAGGTATGCCATGCCTTACAGGAAAACAACTACCAACCAAGAATAGTGTGCCCAGCTAAGCTCTTCTTCACAACAAATAAAAACCTTCCACAAGGAAAAATTGAAACAATTTATCTCCATCAAACCAGCATTACAGAAGATACGTAAAGACATATTACACATAGAAAACCAACAAGAATATTATATTGTCAGAGAAAAGTCCCCTTATCAGAGAACCAGATAAAGATAGTAAGAATTGATGAGACACAACCCCTAAGAAGATGGATAACATATCAGGAACTACCAAACACTTCTCAGTCCCAACTCTCAATATTAATGGACATAACTCTCCAATTAAATGACATAGATGACTAGAGGATCAAAAAGTAAGGTCCATCCATCTGTTGTCTTCAAGAGACACCTCTTTCTCACAATAATAAACATAATCTGAAAGTGAAAGGCTGGAATAAAATCTATCAAGCAATAGGCCCCCATAAACAGGTCAGAGTTGCAATCCTAGTATCAGATAAAATAGGCATCAAATTAAAATTAGTGACAAGAGACAAAGAAAGACATTACATACTAATAAAGGCATCTCTCCTACAAGAGGATATAACAATTCTAAATATCTATATACCAAATGTTGGAGCATCCAACTTCATTGAACCTAACCTAAAAACAAACATCAATTGTTGGTGACTCTACGATATGGAATCATCACAGATGCCCTTCAGTGCATGAATGGATCAAGAAAATGTATATATACACAATGGAATTCTATGCTTCCATCAGAAAGAGTGGCAGTGCCCCATTTGTAAGGAAATGGAAAGGCTTGGAAAGCAAAGTAAGCCAGACCCAAAGAAATGTAGGCTGCATATTTTGCCTCATTTGTAATAACTAGAATATGTTTATAACCTACAAATTAACCCAATGGATAGTAAAGACAAATAATTACACGTGGACATGATTAATTAAAGAGCACTCCAATCATTAGCACACTGAGAACAAAGGAGGATATTCTTAGGAGAGGATCACAATGGCTCAATAGCTATGTGCATATGACTACATAAAATTATGCTTATGGTGGGGCTGGGAAGGTGACTCAGTGGTAGAGCGCTTGCCCTGCATGCATGAGGCCCTCTGTTCCATTCCTCAGCACCACATAAGCAAAAAGCCGGAAGTGGCGCTATGGCTCAAGTGGTAGAGCACTAGCCTTGAGCTGAAGAGCTGAGGGACAGCGCCCAGGCGCAGAGTTCAGGCCCCACGACCGGACCTCCCCCAAAAAAATTATGCTTATGGAAATGAACTCCAAGTAATGGAAACAAGAGGGTTTTTTTTTATTGTACTGTTTCTAGTCATTTCTTTTGTCTTTTATTTCCTTTGGTCTATTTTCTGTTGTTACTGTTTTGTTATTTCTGTACTCTGTCTTATATGTAAGTTTATTTGGGGAAGGGAAGGGGAAATCAAAAAAACAGTGGGACAAAGGGTGAACCAATTCAACAGTGATACTCACTATACACTATGTTGGAAATGAACTTTACAACTTGGGGCTGGGTAAGAGGGGTCCATAGGGGAATAAGTGGGAAAAAATGAGGGAGGAGTTGACACTGTTCAAAAAGAAATGTACTCATTACCTGACTTATGTAACTGTAACCCCTCTGTACATCACCTTTACAATAAAAATAATAAATAGAACAACAAGATAACAAGAAGTTACCCTCAAAAGTTCCCACAAAAAATAACTAGGCTGGGGCTGGAAAGGTGGCTCAGTGGTAGAGCGCTTGCCTTGCATGCTCGAGGCCCTGGGTTTGATTCCTCAGCACCACATAAGCAAAAAGAAAAAAGCCAGAAGTGACACTGTAGCTCAAGCAGTAGAGTGCTAGCCTTGAGCTGAAGGGCTGAGGGACAGCGCCCAGGCCCAGAGTTCAGGCCCCACGACCGGACCCAAAAAATAAAAATTAAAAAAAAAATAACTAGGCTATGCAATGCTAACCTGGAACCAACTCATGAGCATATTCAAAGCAAGCTGAGTTTCACTATTAAAAGAAAATTTCAGCAAAGTCATTCTAGAGCAAAAATCAAATATTACTTTTAATAGGGTTACAAGATTCAAATAGAGACCTCTTTATACAAAAATAAATTTTTACTTACACTTTAATAAGAAATGCAAATGACAAGGTATGATTTTATGAAATAGTGTTATTCAAAAAAAGAAAGAAAAGAAAAAATTGAGACTATTGAGAATCTTCAAAATGTGTAAATTGGGCTTTTTGAATTTCATTTGAAATTTCCCTTAGTTTTTTGAACTTCTAGCCTCAGGGTTCAAAGAATTCTATTGATATTTGAGGCAAAGTTCAGTGGGATTTGATCTCTCTTACATAACATGTATTTTTTGGAATCTGAGAAGGAAACAAAGCTTTACACAATGCTTCCTTGGGATTTTTTTTTTATATTTTGGGGTTTTTGGTTTTTTAAGGCCAAGATTCAATTCCCTTTAGCTTTAGAAATTTCACATTTTCTGCATTTAAAGACTATACCATTATCAGGGGGAAAAAGGTGCATGACATTAACTATGGAGTAAAGCATTTAGATTTCTACAAATAATGGAAAGAAATCAACAGACCATGGAAAAGTACATAAGGAACATTATCTGTGCTCCATGTCTAAGAATACAGGTCAAAAAATTTCTTATCCTTTCTGATTCTAGTACTTAATTGTTTTTTCAAATATGCTTCAAGGCAAAAGTACTTACAATAATACTGGTCCAAAAGAAAACTAAACTCATTATTAAATCCAAGGCAACGTCAAATCTTTATCAATGTTCTCTCCCATATGAGTAAGTAAAATATACCAGTTGATAAACTGATATAACATAAAGGCTTTGTAAAATTTTTCCTAATTCTAAGGATGTTAGGAACCATTCTTCAATGTTTATTGAACAGGTAGTTAAAAGAAAATGAATAAATTTATGTAGGATTCTGACAAGATAAGTTGTCCAAATATTTGAAGTATAAGGTCTAGAAGAGTGGTTGGCAATTATCTTTTTTGATCAATAGAAATAAACTACTTATTAAAATTATTATCTTTAAGTAGGCAACTGCCTATATTAAACTTCATTAGTGCCAGGATGCTTGACTGACTTTTTCTCACAGAAAAAGCAATCACTGGTTTGTGCACAGTATTCAGACTACTGCTATTTCAAGGCAAGATCTAACAATTATTGAATGACATAAATATACCATAGTGTAACAGAAGTTACCTGGAAACACACACACACACACACACACACACACACACACACACATATATATATATATATATATATACACATATTAATATGTATATATATTGAGTAATACCTCCCAAAGTACGTCCCAAAGAAGAATATTCTGCATATATTTATTAAAGATGGTTTGCTGTATCAAAAACATTTCTTGATGCTAGACATGATGTACAGCTGCAATTCCAGCACTCATAGGCTGAGACAAAAGGACAGATTTTGAGACTTGCCTGTGGTATATAATGAGACTGTCTTGAAAAACAAAGATCCATAAAACCTCTTGTAATTCATAAATGCAAAAACCACCAAAAATTAGCAAGAAATACAATATCTTTTAGTTCAATTCTACTGTTGTAGACTCATAGAGTGACATTCTCATCGGCAAGTAGGACACCCAGAAAATTCTGTCTTTAATTAAAAACTTTATTTTTTCAATACAATTCACAGTTTATACATGGTGCATCTCACCATATGAACTTCTGGAACAGTTATTGAGGAAAATGGGCATAGGTTTTGCTCAAAAAGAGCCTGATTTTCCATAATTTGGGTTAGAATTTTTTTGTTTACAAAAGTACCTTCAGCAAATTAACTAAATATTTACATTTCTAGCTTAAATTTCAATTTTGGAAAATAAGCATCTATGAGATTTTTTTTCTTTTTTTAAGATCCTGGGTTAATTTTATTAAGACCTTAATATGAATTCCACTTATTTATGTATGCATCTCCCAACCCCCCAAAAAGGAAAAGAAACCAGTTTTTCAATTATAGTTATGGAAATCATGTTCCTTCTGTGTTTAAAATTATATATATATTATATATACACAATGTACAGCACATCTACATAGGAAAATAAAGGGAATGGTAGCAATTTACTTTGTTGCAATTACTGAAAACTTTCTCCATCTTGGAAACATCCAAAGAATCATAGGATATAAACTAAAAAGGACTATCAGCCTTTTCTACCTCAAAAAAAAAAAAACCTCAAGATTTAAATTGTGCTATAACAGCGTTTTCTCTTATGCCAGAGATGAACCATGCCTGCACTCTGCATTTTTTTCCATGTGCAAAATCACAGTGACCCCAGTTCCAGCATGTTCTCTCATATCCAATCACCTCTCCAGAGGGACTCAGGAAATTGTGGAAATCTGCCCCCTCTCACTGAGCATCTTTTCTTCAGGAAAAGAAAATGACAGAAGCCTTTCATACATTAGAAAGCAAATAGAAGCCGGCAGTTTAATAGTTATTAGCCAATACTCATCATATATTATTTTGCTGTGTTCTTTCCATCAGAATGAATTCACACCAACAGCTTGAAATCACCTGTAGTAGGAAGACCCGTTTTCAACAGGTTTCTTCTGTCCGATCATTATATATGAAAATGTTTTTCTTCCACCTTTAAAAATGTATATTCATAAATGGTAAATTCCAAATACTGCCAAGGGGGAGAAAAAAATGCACTGTTTAGCAGCCAACATTATTGGCCTGGTAATATTTCACTATATATATGTACCATTGGTACCTGAGTCAAATAAATACTCAGAAGGGCCATCTTTGCACCTCCTTTCTCTGCAGTGCCTTTCACACTAGAGTTTCTGAGTGCTGCTTCAATGTCCTTCTAATTTGGCATCTATTCCTTCTTCAGACATCACAACTTCAGTCATTTTACACACTCTTTCCAGCAAGGTATAGTACTCAAAGGGGAGAGATGGGGCAAACGACTGCAGAAGTGAGCCTAAGGGTAGGGAGTAGGGAAGGAGAAACCACAGATTAGCTAGAGAGAGGTTCTGTGTCTTCATAAGATAAGGCACTGACAGAAAATTTCTTAGGTAAAAGGCTGCATAAGAATATCTTGCCATTTACAAAAAGAAACATCGTCACCCATAAATGGTCCGTGTATCTAGGCTCAGTTAGGTAGACCCTGAAAAGTTAAGGACTGATCCCTCAAAGCTACATTATCACCATAAACAAGAATTCATTCTGAGGCCTTGATGGCACATGGTGGGGTGGCGGGGGGAGGGAAGGAAGGAGAGGAAAACAGTCTGGGCACAGAAAGGCATCAGACGTGGCTTGTCCATTTCCACTGGTCAATCGAGTGGAGTGTCTCACAAAGCCTCCTCAGAAAGAGAGCACTGGCTCCGAAATCCAACTTCTCTCAGTGGCAGATGACCATAATGGGTGTCTCTACTTTGCTTCCCCTCTTGAGCTCATGCACAACGTTTAGAATGCTACGGCAACAGTCACAAAGAGCATAGAGAAGTCCTCACCTACGGCTATGCCTACAGCTCATCCCATAGAGTGCTATTTAATGTTCTCAATCACAGCTATCTCTTCCCCAGGGCAGTGAGGCGTCAAACCATTGAGATAGATGCTCTCTGTCTTCAGTAAAGGAGGCAAGACATCTCTGTCACTGGTCAGGTGGTTCACTGACAGGGTCCTCCTACAGGGAGTCAGCTCCTGGTTGTGGTTTCCAGCCAGTTCTGCAGAGAGTTTCCGTTTAATGGAAGTGGCCCGCTGGAACTTGTCATAAATCTCCACACTCAGCCGCCTCCTGGTTTCTTTGAATTCAGCTGTGACATTGGCTGTCCATTCAGCAGCGTGTGCTCTGAATTCTCCCACCTGGACAACAGAAGACAAGAAGAGAGGAGGACACATTAGCATGGAGATCAATACCACCTGTGGCTTATTTCCTCTTCCTTTGATCGGGGGCTTTGGAAAGAAGACAGGAGTAGCCATTTGTAAGACTGGTGTTCTGATGTAATTAGACAAGTATGACAAGGCATGATCCTCTTCTATACAGACATGGCCCTAACAATTATCAACTTAGAACTCTACAAAGCAAGTTATATGTCCCCAGCACTTGCTGTCATTAGATACTTTTAATTGGATTATTTGTACTTATTCCATATGTGGAACTTAATGAAGACTTTGGGTGGGAAGTAGTAAGACATAGTAGAAGCAGCAAAACAGAGGAAAATAATCTGGAATGGGAATCCAGGAGGTCTGGTGAATTCCAATGAGATGGTGCTATCCAAAAATCTAGGTTTTGGAATCTAGAAATAGTGTCTACCAGAAATTTGTTTTTAATATCCTATGACTGGTTTTGGAATTCAATCTTTCTTTCTTTCTTTCTTTTCTTTCTTTCTTTTTTCTTTCTTTCTTTCTTTCTTTCTTTCTTTCTTTCTTTCTTTCCTTTCTTCCTTCCTTCTCTCCTTCTCTCTTTCCTTTCTTTCCTTTCTTCCCTCCCTCCCTCCCTCCCTCCCTCCTTTCCTTCCTTCCTTCCTTTCTTTCTTTTTTTCTTCCTTCCTTCCTTCCTTCTTGTCATTCTCATGGGGCTTGACTTCAGGACCTGGGCACTGTCCCTGAGCTTTTTTGCTCAAAGCTAGTACTCTACCACTTTGAGCCACTTCGAGTTTTCTGGTGGTAAACTGAAGATAAGACTTTTCTACAGGTCTTGAACTGCAATCCTCAGATGTGGGTGTGAGCCACAGGCATAAGCCACCATCACCCAGTTAAGAATTCACTATTTCTTAAATAAGTTATAAAATATTTTGTCTCTGCCTTCAGGGAAATCAGAGTAATTTGAACTGTCAAGTCTGTTTCATATGGGGCCCTATAAAATCCAAGGCCAGTTTTTCAATGAATGCCCAGAGTCAGGGAAGTGATTCATCTTATCTGATTTGTCATTTCCTCCACTGTGTAGCAGGAGAGATCTCCACAGCATACATCTAACCACAATGTCCAGTGAATGTATTTCAAAAACTCAATATCCTTTGCAGTCCATGTTTCATAATTCTCTTTGGAAGGTTACAGAAAAGAAATTGGCCCCATAATCAATAGTTGTATGCACACATATTGCTATTTTCTCAGTCTTTCTTCCTCTTCCATCTTTGATATCATAAACATTTTTTCAAAAAATGGTCATATATTAAGCACCTGGTTTTGAAAATGGAAGTTTTGTCTTTTTTCTTAGTTATTTGTCTAATTTCTTAGTTATTATTCTTTACATGTTAGTATTCATTATTCTCTCATAGTTTTAATCAGCTGCTTAGCATTCCCTGGGATGATGGACAGGCATCATTTAAGCACTCCCCTATTGATGAATATTTGAGTGAGACCTTCCTTCCTTGATTCCTTTGTGCCTTCCTTCCCTCCTTCCCTCTCTCCTTCCTTCCATTTCTTTTCCCCCTTTCTCTTTCTTTTGTCCTTCATTTCTGTTCTTCCTTCCTTCCTTCCATGCTTCCTTTCCTTCTTTCTCTTTCTCTATTACTTCTTCCTTTTCCCCTTTCTTTCTTTCTTTTTCTTTCCTTCTTTCTTTCGTCTGTCTGTCTGTCTTATGTGTGGGTTATCAGAAACAATACTTCAGTGAATATTCCCGTACCTATATCTTTGCTCATGTATACTAATTATTACTATAGTTGGAAACAATGGATCAAATGATAGGGATGTTTTCATTCGATCTAATTTTGTTGGAGAGGCAGGATAGATGGAACTAAACCCCGTGTTCATACCTTAGCCCTTATGTACCTTAATGCTTTGAGGAAAGTTGAATATTAAAAGGAGCTACCTGAGTTGAAAACACCCATGGTTAAATTTATAAAAATAATTGGAAGCCTACTTTACATTCCATTTTCAGTGGTTGTTGGACTATAATTCCTTACAATTAACACATTCATTTGCTAAGGAATTGACATTTCATTGTATCTTTGAAATGCATTGTTAAAAGGAACAATATAAATTGTTCTCTTTTCCAATTGGGTTTTTAAAAAATCTGTAATGATTTCTTAAATGTCACATTATCTTGATAAAACTGTATGTGATTTCCCCCCTCTGGTTTTCAAGAAATAAATGCAATATTTATAAAGTCTCTTTAACCTGAACTATTTTTAGGCACTAATGCTTGGTCTTCTTAATGCCACAGGTGCTAACATAATGTGTAAGATTAAGTACAATGGCACTAAATCTTTTCTAATAGGGAATATCCTTGAAATTCTCTCCATCACTCTGGAATTGACCTGATGGAGCCCACCCACCTTAAAAAAAATCTCATTGCATTGTAATGATTGGGATATTAAAATTCATGAAGCAATAAAAGTAATTTGTGTGATTTTTAAATAAAATTCCACACAGAAACAAGATTGAGTCATAGTAACTCATTTAACTGTCAAGACAATGCAGAAACTCTACATATTTCAGGGGGGAGTCTGGATGATCCATATGAGTTAAGCACAGCCTGGAAAAAGTGTTTCCAAGATACTCTCTCAACCAATAGATTGGCACAGTGGTTCATGCCTATCATCTCAGCTATGCATATAAAGTTAGAAGGATTGTGGCTCCCAGTAGACCCAGACAAAAATGTTCATTAAGACCCATGTCAACAACTACTACAACAAAATCTAGACATTGAGGCATGGGTGCGTCATTCTGGCTGTGGTGGGCAGCATAATTAGGACACTTATGGTCCAGGAGAGTCCAGGCAAAAAGTGAGTAGGGCACATGCCTAAGCAACATCACCACTGTGATTGCTTTTTGTCCAAAATTGGGTGTACTGGCATTTGATATATATGTAAGTTACAGCTGTCATACCATCTTAAAGGACTGTTTGCTTTATTAATATAAAGTGACCTTCTTTGTCTTATATGATTAATTTTGGTTTGAATTCTGAGTTGTCATATATGCATACAGCTACTTTTGCTTGCTTTTGGGCTCTGTTGTTTAGAATATCTTATTCTGTCCTTTCATTTGAAGGCTATGTTAAATTTTGATAGTGAGGTGCATTTCTTGTAGGCAACCAACGATTGGGTCTTGTTTATGATCCAAATGAGCAGTCAGTGTCTTGTTTGTTTGTTTTGGCAGTACTTGGGTTTGAACTTTAGGGCTTCACACTAATCTGTTTCCTGAGTAAGTACAATTAAAGGGTTAAACCACTGGTATTGAGCCCCAGTCTGTGTCTTTTGATTAGAGAAATGAAGCTAGTAACATTCAGAGTTATGGAAAAATTTGTAGCAAGATTTGTCATTTTGTTTTAGTGTTTCTTTCCTAATCCTCATTTGTTTATTTACTTGTCGATTGAGATTTTTTCTTCCCTGTATATTGACAGCATTTATCTTCCACTTCTGTTTGTGAGATTCCTTTAAATATCTGATGCAGAAATGTCTTAGTAGTGATAAATTAATTTAGTTTTTATCATTGAACAGTGTGTTTCTTTTCCAGTTATGAGGGGATAGCTTTCCTAGATATAGTAGTTTACTTTGGCAATCTCTTTAGGGCTTGAAATACATCATTCTATGCCCTTCCTTGCTTTTAGAATTTCTCTTGTGAAGTAAGTTCTTATGATGAGGCAGTCTTTATACATGACATGGGACTTCTCTCAGCTTTTAATATACTTTGCTTGTTCTATATTGTTAATGGTTTAACTAAAATATGACTTGGAGAGGTTTTCTGATCCTATCCACATGGAGTTCTAAAAGCCTCTTGTATTTGAATGACCACTTCTCTTACAAGATTTGGGTATGTTTTGCCATTATTTTGTTGAATGGTTTCTATCTGTTTAGATTGTACTTCTCATTCTTCTATACCCATCATTCATAGTTTTTGTCTTACAAAGGTGTCCCATCTTGTATGTGCCAGACATACTTTCATATCATTTTTTCTTTATCTGAATGCTCTAATTCCTGTACTGTGTTCTTAAGCCTGATATTCTGTTTTTCATTTGGTTTAGTCTATTGGTGAGACTTTCAGCTGTGTTTTATATTTGATTTATTGAGTTTTTCATTTCCACTTGATCTTTTTTTAATGGGAGCTTCATATTTTTATTGATTTCCTCCTGCATCTCCTGTTTGGTCTTCCTTATTTTGCTCAGCTGTTACTTATATTCTCTTGAAATTCACTCAGGTGTCTATTTATAACCTTTTAAATGTTGTTCATTGTCCTTACAATCATTCTTTTGAATTTCTTGTTTTTTATTTCATCCATTTCATCATCATGGATGTGTGCTACTGTGATGGAGTCCTAAAATCTTGTTATTTCACATTTTTTTGTATTCCTACATGAGGATTTGGGCAACTGATGCCAAGTCATTGGTTGGAAGCTTTAATCACTGGTAGTCTTTCAGCTGAATATTCTCAATTCTCAAGTAGGATTGTGTAGTAACAAGGTTGAGATGTGATTTCTCACTACTGGACTGGAATTATACCTAAGTAATCAAAAGCCAAATATACATATACATATACTTATACATATACATATGTATATTAAGGAAATCAGCCCAAACCTTGGCATCACTCAAAGAAAAACCAATCTGAAATATCTTGCATTTTCTAGTATATAGGTTGTTGCTATATGTAGGTCAGGAGGATGGGAGCTCTGGTCCAGTGTCACTTGTTCACTTTAAAGTTTCTCTTCTTTGTGTAATGGGGTGTTACTACCTTCAAGGAGCTTTACAACCTATGGACAAGGTAGATTCCTACACAGTTACTCTGTAAGCTCTGTCTGGCTATTCCTATAAGCTCACCAAGTATCCAAGCCAGGGTATTGCTTGAATGTACCAGAGCATCGGGGGGAGTGAACAGAACACTGATTTCTCCATTGGGAAGATGAAACTGAGAGGAACCCAGTTG